TCGATGGAGCTATATAATTACAATAAAAAAGCACAACACTCAATCGAGAATAACTCTAGAAATATTAAAGTGGTGTTCTTCAAACTTGGCACCAGCAATATACATCACAAAAGCAACTGCTTTGTCGTGGCCCGAAAAAATACGAAGAACACTCCCGAAGCACGCCGAAATTTTCCAGTTAGTCGCGTTACTAAGCAGTTAGCGGCTCAGTCGCCTACATACCTGGAGACTGCCTCGTTTCAAATATTTCGAGAGGATCATGACCTGGGGCGAGTCGATGCAGATTCCAATGAATGGGTTGATGTTCTCATGGCGCAGTTCACGGGCCTAACAAATGAGTAAAACACAGAGAGGGATAATTAGAAAGTACGACTTTGTATTTTGATCTGCGCATTGTTGCAACAAAACTAACTTAAATACAGAATTAACTACTTATTAACCGGAAAGTGAGGTCTTTACGGAAAAACCTCAAACCGAGACCTTGGCGTATTGACCTCGCTATCGCTCGGTCAATACGGCAAGGCCGAGGTTTGAGATTTTCCCGTAAAAACCGAACGTTCGAGGTTAATAAGTTGTTTATTATATGGCTATTTGCTTCCGTTTTTAAGGGAGAATAATGCCCTACAATTGGCCAATCAAAACGCGCGTTATATCGGTTACAAACACAAGCCTTAATAATGCAATTTATTCCTTTACAGAGTTAAAAAAAATAACAAATTAAAAACTTCTTCGACAAAACAGTTGCAGACGCTGGAGGCTTCCACTTACCTGTTTGACCTCAATCAGAATTTTACGGGATATTCGCAGATCCTTCTTTTTGGTGTGTTTTACAACAATAAGCTCACCCTAGAAATGAAAAAAGGAATAGTTAAACGAATTTAGAAACTTTAACTTTTATTTTAGAAAACCCACTGTTTCTGATGTTGACATCGGAACCTTGGGTAAGTAGTTAGTAATAATGATCGTATCTAATTTCTTCTTAATTACTATATCTTCCAGTCTTCCATTCAAGCGAGTAAAATGATGACAAAAACAGTCCAAAAAATATCACTCGTATGCGAATTGTTTAAAAACGCTCCTTGCTATTTAAGACGTGTCTATTTATCGGTAAACAAGAAACTTTAGGAAGCTTACAACTGCACAGTTATATTTAGATTACGCAGAGTGAAATCAGTCCGCAACCTTCCAACCCTCCGATCCGTTCTCCTAAGCCTTTTGCACACTGACTTCCCTACTCTCAAAGAGGAGCTGGGTAATAACATGGCTCTGGTCATCAACAAAATGAGAAAAAAAGAACAAAAACAAAAGCACGAGTGAAACATGACCAGGCCACCCGCTTAAAAGCAGCTAATAACGGTACAGAATGTAAGGCAACAAAGATATATGGCCTAGCTCCCGCGAGTGCTCTAGCTCAGCGGTAATTCGGAAGGTCATAGATTTGACTCCTGTTATGAAGCTTAGCATTCGATTTTTTCGAAACCCTTATTTCGCTGTCTTCATAATATTTTGTTCGTCATGTGACCAGCCATCCTTTCTTTCGAATACACATTAGTCACTACCCCTTCAGTTTTCATCTTCTCTACCCTCCCTCCCATCCCTACCTTATTGAAAGCGATGTTAGTGAAGCCCGAGGAGAAGACTTGTTCGTGTAAGCTCCACCTGGCAGAACACTGCGTGTCAGCGGACTTCACACTGGCGCATGATCTGGGAGTACTGACCCAGCTCAGACGACTGAGACGAGACGATGACACTTTGGACTTGATACTTCTGACAGAATTGAAGTTTGCGTTCTAGAAAGGTAAAAGTTACCAAAGCAAATACATTATTATGACTTGGCCCAGTGAAACCCAGGTACTTGAGAAATAGCCTTGTGTGACCTACTCCATACTTCGCTATATGTAAAAACTGAGACAAAAACTGAAAAAACAAATTTGTTTCAGCGTCTGGATAGGTTCCGATGTATGTATGCGTATGGTTTTACCCCGGGGGAGGGGGACTCGCATATAATAAAGACGGGGGTGCTCGTTGTACCTTTTAGGGGTTAAAAAGGTGCTATTGGAATGTCTTAGGATGTTATGCCTCAAACGATCCACAGCGTTGAGCCGGAAAAACGGTAGTGTGGCAGCTGTCGTAGGCTTGCAATTCTATTTGTCGTCATTACAGCAGCTGCTATTGTTTTGGGGCTAGGGGCATTGCTTCTGTTGTTTGTTCTATTGTCCTCTTAAAGGGTTTCAAGCCATTCATGCGAGAGCTGCAACTTGACCCCAAAAAATGTGACAGGAGATAATCTGATAAGTTAATAAAGATGGTGAATTTTAAGCTCGGTAATGAAATGTGAAGGTGAATTAATCAACATGACACGAGCGTGGGACAAAGAAAAATTCTG